ATTCACACACACACACATATATAATTGAATGTTCAGTTAGTTGACTAGGCAACATTTCAAATTTTCATCTAATATTTGGTTTGTTTACATGATTGCCTTCAAATATACTTTTTGATTGGGTTACATCTAATACGTCCATTTATTGGAGGTGTGTTTGTTTGTGTGTGGGTATGTAGGTATGCCAGTCTATATTTCTGCTGTGCGGTGGAGGAGCATGACAATGAGCTTATTACCCTGGAGGTCATCCATCGCTTTGTGGAGCTGCTGGATAAGTACTTTGGCAGTGTGAGTCATTCCTTGCCACCACCCCTCTTTCATCTGGCCTCTCTCTTATTCTCCTCCTTTCTCACTAATTCATACCCCACATCACAGCAACCCAAGACCTGTGAAATTCTCTTTACTTTCCCATCTTTTTTGCTTCTTTGTCCGTCTTCTCCTCTACTTTTATCCTCCTATTCGTTCTATGTCTGTTTTTCTCTGTAAATGTCACATTATGCCTTTTATCTCCCTCCATATTGATGTTATTTGCTGTTGTGCACATGGCTTTTCTGTTTTGATTATCTAACTGTTTTGGTTGCCTGTCATTTATTAACGTTAATTCCCTTGTGCATCACAATGTTACATTTTTAATGGAGTGTAGCATCCGCATTGTTCCTTTTTGACCACTTTACCATGCACGTCATTTTCCTATTATGGTTACATTTTGGTTAAGTTGTTCTTGCCATTTATTAAGATACATTGATGTTAGGGGTTTGCACAGAATCGATGATGAAAATTTTCAACAAATTTAATTATTGATGAGTCAAGTCAAGTCAATTCGTGATTTGCAAAAAGTTAAAGTTAATGGCAGTCCTAAATGATGTACTTTATTCAAATGTTAATACTTTTCACATACACTACTGTTCAAGGTTTTGATATAAATTAATTATTTCTTTTCAGCAAGCATTAAATTGATCAAAATTAAGAGTAAAGACATTTGTAAATTGTAATGTTATTTGTAATGATATTTTAAATAAATGCTGCTCTTTTAAAATGTATAGAATCCTGAAAAAATATGTAACACTGTTTCCACAAAAATATTAAACAGCACAGCAGTTTTCAACATTGATAATCAGAAATGCCTCTTCAGCACCAAATGAGCATACCAGAATGATTTTTGAAGGATCATGTGACACTGAAAACTGTAGTAATGACTTGAAAATTCAGCTTTGCCATCACAGAAATAATATTTTAAATATAATATAATGAGGTCATTTTAAATTGTAATAATATTTCACAATATCACTGTTTTTACTGTATTTTTGATTAAGAAAAATGCAGCCTTGGTGAGCATGAGAGACTTCTCTGTACTGTACTTGAATACTCATTAAATAATATAGGCATATAACTGCTGTCTTATTCATATTTCTTTGAACTGGATTATTTCAACACATTTATGTGACACTCATATATAGAATATTACCAGATTATTGTGCATGTAAACAAGATTGTGCTCACGTCTCCACTGTTTTGTGTGTGTTGTACCCAATGTAGGTTTGTGAGCTTGACATCATTTTTAACTTTGAGAAAGCTTACTTTATCCTGGACGAGTTTCTTATGGGGGGAGAAATTCAGGACACATCCAAGAAGAGCGTGCTGAAGGCCATCGAGCAAGCCGACCTTCTACAAGAGGTGTGTGTATGCATGTTATTTATGTGTTTTTGAACAGTGTTTGCATGGATATGTTCCTTGAATTCTTGTCTTGTGGCTCCTTATTCATTTATATCCTCTTAAATCTTCAGAGTATTGCACATTGTAAGCTGCCAAGTTACGTAATCACTGCATTGTGTAATGTACACTGTGAGGATCCCTCAATGGAAACCCTTGTCTCCTTTTCTCCGGACAGGAGGATGAGTCACCCAGGAGCGTCCTAGAGGAGATGGGGCTGGCCTAGTACTAGTTTCAAATGCAGTCAAGACAGATGGTAAATTTTGGTACTACTGCGACATGTGGGTTTATGTGAAGGGGAGTTTGTGAATGGGTCCAAAGGGTGGGAGGAGAACAGGAGAATAAAAGAGGGTAGGTGGGGTTAATTTTGGTACTACTGAGATCAGCATGTGATTGTATTTCAATTCCAACCTCTTTTTGTCTTTTACATTTTAAAATGGCTGGGATCTCATCTTTCTTAAGAGACACTGTAGAAAGAGAGTTGCAGATAGACACTCAAATTTAGCAATCAGAAACATATTTAGAAAAAGGAGTTGAGCCTTGCCATTTTAACAACAGGTCATGCAATCTCAGCTTTTAGTTTTATTTCAAAGAATGATTTATTATTACATTGATCAAGTGACCTGCTTTGGAAAAACCTCAAATTGAATCCAATGCCATTACTATACATCTACTGTAGCTGCTCAGGAAACAATGACATTGACCATCCAGCCATGTTTATTTGTGTGAGATGCAAATATTTGTACTTGTACCACTTTAAAAAGAAGTGCTATTGCAGCATATGGACCATAAGTAACTCTACTAATGTTTTTTTATAATGGATCGATTTTGAAGATATATTCACCAAACAGGAGGAATATTAAATAGACGATTTTAAATGGCTACAATACTGAATTGACTATATTCAGTATTAATTTCTATTCATTTTGTTTTGTCCCTTGAGCCACAGTAGTAAAACGTCTGAATGTGTTTTACTTCGAGAACAGGGCACTGAATCTCAACCACAAAATGGCGTGAAAGCTCTTTCCTGTTTGTCTTGGTCTACATCCTGCTTTCCAAAGACGTGTTTCTGACTGTAAGCGTGGCGTTAGAGTTCTAATAAGTAAGGGAGTATTTGTAGCTTGTTTCAGATAACAAAAGAGGGCTTTGATATTAGGTGTGATGTATTTACATGGCTTTTTAAACGTGGTGTGAAATAAGGGAATATTTTGAGATTAACTTTCTTTCTTTTTTTTTTTCTTTTTTTTAAAGCGATTGAATAATTCAGCATGAAGACATGTTTTTACCTGTGTAAAATCTGTCTGGTAACCAAAACAGAATTATGTGTGAATGTAATTTTATAAATAATAAAAACACAATTTCAGCCTAAACTTTCAAGTACATTGACATTTCTTCCTCATCTCTTTTCACGTTTTTATTATTTTTCAATATATTCAGCCTTTTTTTCTTTTTTAAATATAAACGTATACCTAATGACAGCAGTTTGAGTTTCACTTGCAGAGCATTTCATCCAACCTGTTTTCACATTCGCTTGCTTTTTTTTTTTTTTTTTTTACATCCATCATGCCGTGACCTCTGTTGGTATAATGTTTGCACTGTCAAAAAAAAAAAGAATGCTTTGTCAGGAATTTATTATTATTTGTGTGTGTGTGTGTGGGGAGCAAAGATAAAGAGTGCTGAAGAGAGAAAATGAGAGAGAGAGTGAGAGTGAGATGGAGTATGTAAGTGGATGAGTCACCAGTCGCTAGTTTGTGACAGTGCTGCAGTGAAGCTGACTGCACCACCATTGTGGCAAGAAAAAGACAATGAAAGAGCAATGGGAAATTAGAAAAAGAGATTACAGCCGGGTGAAGACACATGTGCATATAGTGACAAAAGACATGCTTTTAGATTAAAAAAATTATGTTGATAGTCAGTGACAATTTAACAGATGGAAGTCACCACACCACAGATGTTCAAGTCAAAAATTAAAAAAAATGTTTTCAGTTTCGTGTGAACTAATAATTTGCATTGGTAATATAAAAGGTGCTTCTTTTTCGACATCACTTTTCTCAAAGTGTTGTTATTGTCTGTTTGTGTTTCTTTCCCTTGTTTGGGGATTTATGAAAACAGAAATCTGTTGTGTTTTTCACCACCATCAGTGTAAAGGTGTCAAACGATTTAACCCTCAGCGTGATTGCAGCCCTCCTTCCTTTTGTCTAAATATAAGCTCAGCTGTTGATCAGAGTGTCTTCCTTTATCTCCTCAGTGGACAGCAGACCGTTTCTAGAGACACTGTCATGTGCCTTTCAGCTTTTCACCCTTCTGTCAAATTGCATTTCTGTGGCGCTTAGTGACTAATTGTGTATCCTGTGGTTTTTCATGCAAATGCAATGTGTCTTGGTCTTTTTAATGGATTTAGGATTATAATGCTTGTTTACAAGTCCACTAATGGGTTTTCCCCCTAATATTCATGTAGTGCATGAAATTCTGCATAAAATCCTTTATTTTATTTTCCTGTATATTTGCAGTTTTAAAGGATTATCGGTTGATTGATAATTGATTTTAGGTAAAGCACTTGTCTTTATTCCCCCTGTAAAAATATAAACATACAGTTAAAAACATACAGCTAATTAAAAGTGGGCCTAAAACAATGTATATTCAGTGTATGGCTATGCATATTTTTTCCCCTTTACTACACTATATAAATGTGCAAACATTGTACCTTTAAGGGTACTGCTTATAACAGCTTGTTGTCTTTAAGAGAATAGTACGCACAAAAATTTAAACTTGCTGAACATTTACTCACCCTCAGGTCATCCAAGATTTAGAAGAGTTTGTTTCTTCATCGGAATATTTAGAGAAATTTAGCGTTACATTACTTGCTCACCAATGGATCCTCTGCAGTGAATGTTTGCCGTCAGAATAAGAGTCCAAAAAGCTTATAAAAACATTGTGATAATCCACAAGTAATCAACATGACTCCATCAATTAACTGTGTGTTTGTGATAATCAAATTAATCATTAAGATGTTTTTAACTTCTTCCGGCTAAAATATGAGTTCTTTATCTGTAATATCGTTTTTCCCAGTGAAAAAGTCGTCTTGTTTGAATCAGGAGAGAAATATGCACAGACCAAGCACTGTTTACAAGCGAAAATAGTCCAAAACAAATATGTCGGTGGATGTGAGAGGACAGAAAAAGACGGAGAAGGTGTTATTATGGATTCTTTTGTCCAGAAACGACATTTTTAAAGTTAAAACCTCTTAATGATGAATTTGTTCTATCGATTGAGCGTAACCCTGTATATTCCTTTAAATGTACGTTTTTATACCTTATCTACCCCTAAAGCATACACTAGGTACTAATATGCACCTTTTAGTGATGGATAAGACGGTCCTGCCCCGGTGACCGTTCATGCTCATTTTTTGATCATGTGTTTACAATAGTCCACAATCTGTTGGCCTTCGATGCGTCCATGCCATATTATTTACCTGTAGAAATTCACAAGATAATGGAAATTCTGGAAACTCAGAGCCAACAAAACATACAGCCTCATCCTCAAAGTGGCCTTTGCAGCAGATGCATTTCTGCAGTGTGTAATTTGATGAGTAAGTCATTATAATTGCAAAGTTAATCAGACTTGTCTTTGAGATTACCTGAAGCAGTGTTTAGCTTCTGTGTAGCACATTTTATGACAGTAAATATAATATGCTGGTCTCGCACTGATGGTTTGATGGATGACTGCCCTCATTTCTCTCCTGGATGAGTCTTTTTTTCATTAATCTGGCACCAGCGCATCTCCAGTGGGAAGTTTCTGCCAAGTTAGCTGTCGCTACTTGTTTGTTTCCAGCATTGTCTTGTGAATTGAAAGTTCCTGGTGTCAAGTGATTAAGTGCTAAGGGCTTTGCATATGAAGGTCCCTGTTCACAAAACCATGTTTGACTGCTGTCGTTGTACCCTTGAGGTTGTCATGTAATCACTTTTGCAGAACAGTCTAGTAAAGAGATGGAATTATATTAATTATGGGATTAAAATAATTCTAATAGGAATAAAATTTATGTTAATATGAGTAGTGGTAGCCTAATGGTTAAGTGTACACGGTTAAGTTGGAGCCAAAAAAGACAGGTCACAGTTCTGCTCTGCCATGTTGTTGTTGTTGTTTTAAATAAAGCGCTTAAATTCAGTTTGTTCTGGGGAGATTGTCCCACAGTCACGTTGAATAAAAAAAAAGCCATCTAAATGCACTACAAAAATCATATTCTTCATCTGTATTTTTGTGTAATTTACCTGTCAAAATATCAAGAACTATTTCAAGTCATTTATTATAGTTTGTTAACGAATTAAACATGAGTAAGGACAAAAGTAATTAGTTTGGGCTTCATGTACTGTGTATGGGCTTTTTAGTTATATTCTTTCAAAATAGTTGACCCAAAAATGTAAGTTCTGTCATCATTTAATCACCCTCACGTTGTTCCAAACCTGTATGATTTCCTTCTTCCGTGGAACATAAAAGAAGATATTTTGAAAAATATAAAAATAAACAGAAATAAAAATGTCTCTGTTTTTTATTCATACAAGGAAAATCTATATTGTTTGGGAACCATTTGACTTTCATTGTTTCAAAACATGAGTGCGAGTAAATGATAACAGATTATTTTTTTCTTTGGTGAACCATCCCTTTAAATTTATTTACATGAATACAAAGCAAACCTCACTCCAGGATTTCCGCGGGGTCTTAAAAAGTCTTAAATTGTACAAGAAAGTCTTAATTATGTTTTCAGTTGGTCTTAACCCTTTAGGCGCCAGGGTTTTTTGGAAAAAATGTTGGATTTTGACATCAAGATTTCAAAAGCTTATAACTTGAAAGGGCTTAAAGATAGAGATCTACTGTAAATTAGAAAAATGTTGGGCATGACCGAAAGTTTATGTGGGGTGTAAATATACTCATCGAATTTGCATATTATGACGTCAGCCATCTTGAATTTCATAATATTTAGGAAATAGTAGATATTGAATTGATGTTTGAAATTATTTGCATGTTGTTGTTTTTTTCGAAATAGTAGATATTGAACTAAAGTTTGAACTTATTTACATGTTGTTATTTTTTTTGTTCGGCTCATCAAAGCGTTTGATCCAGTCCTGATACACTTCTTCATTTCTCAAAAAAACGTTGGGCAAAGGGTGGAAATTATCACTTGTTTGTGCTTCGTGAACCTTGCACGGTAGCACCATTGCGCTGCAAAGATGTACCGGGAGAAGTGCGATCAACTGATCGTCATTTCCAAAAGGCAAATATTCCCCTTCAGAGTCAGAATCGGCGAATAACATTTGCAACACATCCTCACGGTACAACTTTTTAGTAGCCATTTGGCGATTTTCTCTCACAAATCTCACAATTTACTCAAACGCTCTGAACTGAACTGCTTCCGCATCAATGACACGATAGCTCACTTGCTCTGCTATTTGCTCGAACACTTTGAATGGGAACATGACGTAATTTTGGTCTAGAATCGAAGTACTACATGTCTGCCATCTAGTGGTAGGGAATACAAATGAGATATTACACCATATTAGGAACTACAGTCTATTTGATTAAGTATGACGTCTTGTCACAATTTTGTGACTTTGGCGCTAAGAGGGTTAAATTTGGGGACGGAAAGACCAGAATTGCGATATGGCTTTGTGACGATTAAACTTCAAAACGCTATGATTTCATTAAATAAACATGAGCGCTGCACCTTTCAGAGTCCTGCTGTGCTGCTTTGTGTTCTGCTGTTACTGGGGAAACCGCAGTATTTCTGTTGTTCCGAAAGCTCCTCCTGCTGGCAGAGAATGAATGTGCATTTTCAATAAGCCTGTTTAATTGGAGCAGGATATTCCTGCAATAACAGAGGCTGCAGTTTCTAGGACCCTATAGTTTTTTTTAATTATTTTTATAAAAAAAAATGTATATGTGTATATATTAGCAGTTCATACTATTTTATAGCACTTGCTATTAAATTTTGTATATTATTATTTTTAAGGAATTATGTAGTTGTTTAATTGTATACACTTAATTATTGTCCTAACCAACTCCTAACCCTAAACATACCCGTTGGTAACCCTCTTGAAATTAATTTAACCTAAT